GAATTTGAAGTTTATTGCATTCCCATTGAAATACTCGGTACCATGCGTTTTAGTCAAAATTAGAAGGGTGATTTTTCATATTGGCGTTCCGACAAACGGCGAATTTTCGAACGGATGTCGGATAATTTGGACAATTTGGCAGCACTGCTGATGAGGCATATACATGTAGAGAATTATATTTGATCGCAAAATGCAACTGCTTACAGTTCATCGGGGCATGACTGCGGACGGTGTAGTCGTTTTCCCTGGTCGAACGATGTCAGAAGCATGAACACTGGTATATTGCTGTAGGGCATCTCACCTAGCAGGACACATCCACATACACCCATATCCACACACACCCATATCCACATACACCCATATCCACATACACCCATATCCACACACGATATCCACACACGTCATATCCACATACACCCATATCCACACATGCCCACACACATCCACACACATCCACATGAACACACCTTGACCTTTGACGCCCATCGCCGGAGGCGATGATAGCAATGCTACGGCAGAAGCCATAGCAACTTGTGCTGGGATTACACCATTCAACAGCTTGCAAGGCTGAAGAATTGACCGTCACTATTCAGCCTGGTCTACACCATACAGCTATTTGGAGTGACATTTTCTGGCCAGTGAATCCCTATTTTTGGTCTTTTTCATTTTTTTTTCCCCCGCACACACATCACACCACATACTCCGGCATGCACTGGCTGTTGGTAACCACTTTTTTCATGAACACACACATCCACATGAACACACGCGCACACACACACACACACACATGATAGAGATAGTGAGACAGAGAGAAAGAGAGAGACCGAGTGGGAGAGAGAGGTAGAACTGCAGAGTTAATAAACTAGGATGAAGACAGACACACCGCAGCCAGAAAACTACTCAGCAACACGAACAAGTTGTTCCTTACCACTGGTCAACACCTCCCAGAGCAGAACTCCAAAGGCCCAGCTGTGAATAATATAACATACAGCCAAGCCAGAACAGGAATTTCTACAGTGCTGCTCAATAAAATCAAACGCAAACTTGACTCGCGTGACTGGATTTCATAGGGCATCGCTGTACATCATGCAATCCCACAAGTGTGAATAAGAGTAGAATAAATTGAAACATGTTCTCGTTATCTATCAATCAACAGCAGTCAAATGAGGGCACCTGTTCTAAAGTGCTCACCAAAAAAACAAAAAATGCACGTAGCCCTGTATTCAATCAGTGTGAGTGAAATCTATGCTAAACGCCAGCGTGGCATATAGCAAGTAAAACACATGCTTTCAACTCACACATCGCTCTTGCTACTGAACACTCCATCCTTGATGCATTCTGGTGCCATCCACTTCAACGGTAATGCTCTCTACAAACACCCATACACGCATAATATACACACACGTATGAGCACACGCACACACACACACACACACACATTCACATGTACACACACACACACACACACATATGTGATCACACACATGTGCACGTGCATGCGTGCGCACCCCCCAACACAACCTCCCCCCCCCCCCCCCACACACACACACTAGTCGAGTAGTGGTCCGAAGTTGCATGTAACCAACTTGCACGTTACAGCTGGCAATGAAGATAACCTCCAAGAAACACATAACAGAACAATTACACCTGCTCGTTGGACAGACAGCATACTAACTGTTATTCAAAGTGTGGCTTCTAGTCGTGGAGAAGTGATTCAATTTTCAAACAACCAGTAATGGTGCTTACAGGGGTTTTGGAGTGGTACATTTGATCATCAAACAGTTTCCGGGACAGACCAAGGTCCGATATCTTTGCTTCAAGAAACTCCTCGGAGAGCTCTCGGATGAGGATGTTCCGCGCTGCCAAGTCTCTATGGACAATCTAGAAACGCATCAAAACACCAGCACAGACGCATCAAAACACTAAAATACTCACGTGCATACACACACACACATGTTATGGGAACTGCAGCTCTCGTAATGGGAGAGAAACAGCCTGATTGATGGAGACAGAGGGACAGCGACAGACAGAGGGACAGACAGAGAGACAGAGGCAGAGAGAGAGAGAGAGAGAGCATGAGGCCGTAGCATGGGTCTTTGCTGTTCAGGTAACGTTCTCGTAGTGGTGCGAGATCAAGCGGCCTCACCCGCTCACTGTCGCCTACCCCTCCTGACAACACCTGGTATTAGGCGTCGAAGCTTCATACACATGTTCTCCACCTAAGACCAGTCGGTGTGTACGGCAATACAGTCGCTCACACGGGATCACTACATCATGTGACGTTTGTGCGAAGAGCTGGAAAGCCCACTAAAATGCATTTCATTACTTTTCGGATAATGGCCAAAAGGATTCACTTTTTGTGCAGTTTGTATCGTAATCCATTTTTGGGTTCCAGTTTTGAAATGGTTCTATTCCGATTGTCAGATAAGTGCTAAATTTGAGAAAATCAGATTTTCAGCCCAGTGTAATCAAAAGGTCTACGGGCACCACCAGGCAAAATTTAACATCCACAGTATGACTAGAACCATAACGCTGATCAGTGCCATGTGAATGTTTGAGTTGTTGAGGAAGCTCTGAATAAAGTGAATAGTTGCCAAATGACATTTACACACAACCTGAGGAAAGTAGGTAGTTGCATATCAATCAACAAACATCTGGGTTGGAGGTTTGACCATCAGGCGCGTGCTCGGCGATGGGCACGGGGGGCACGTGCACCCCCAAAAATTTTCAATCTGGGTAATTGCAATTGTAATGTATGCAAATATGCTCTAAAATTCAAGAAAGGTTGCAAACAAATTGCAGAAAATTGCCGGGGGCCGGGGGGGGGATCCCCTCGGCTCCCGTGCACCCCCCTAGTTGGGGGGCCGAGCACGCCCCTGACCATGCAAGCAACATAGCTTCTTAATATACAGGTCTTGCCTCGTTATAACGAGACCGGTTTGTACATGTACATAAACCCCGTTAGTAAAATAGAAATCTGAAATCCCCTGGCAAAACACGTGGTCTATACCACTGTTTACAGGTCCGGATAGAACATACCTGCTTTTCCGCCAGGAACTCCATGCCTTTGGCCACCTGAAGACTAACATCGGTGATCTTCGAGAGCGGTAGAATAGTTTCGACGTTCTTCAACACCACCACGGTGGACTTGAGTCGACGGAGGTACGAGTGGAGATCTCCACCACACATGTACTCCATGATTATACACGGACTGCCTGCAGACACAGATGTAAGCAACAGCACAGTCCACGTATAGTCAGTGAGTGCGTTCGATTTTTCCCAAGAATCGATTCGAATCCATTCATCAATAGCCCCTGACTATTCTCATCACCTGATGTGAATAGGATAAATCGATTACGAACCGATTCCAGGGCTCCTTTCGAACGACGTGATTCCATTCATGAATCGATTCATGGCAGTACACGAACGCACCCGTCCACATACATTCAGTAAACACTCTTATCTCGGTTATCCGGACCCCGAAGTTACGGGTACTTCGGTCTACCGGACACCCTTTGGGCGAATTCCAGTGGAAATATTACTACTCTTTTTGTCACTTTTTGTGTAAATACTGATGTCATATTAAATTATGCCATAATATCCATGGCCTTTCCCGATCAAAATGCACGTGATTCGGAGTTACGGACATTTCAATGTTACGGGCAGTGCCCAGTCCCGGACCGCCCGGATAGACGAGGTATGAGTCTAAGGCAATAGGCAATCGGTTCAGCCTGTCACCCTGGAGACTCACAACACCAGTTACCAATGAATGGAAAGCTGCTTTGTTCCACGCAGGCCTCGCAGGTGTGAAACCCCATCACCCAGAGCCTTACCTAGAAGTAGACCACCAAACAGAGTAGCGACTACATTGGGATGGTGTTCAAGGCTTTCCATGAGGATCAACTCAGCATAGAGTCCTTCCATGGCTGTTTGACTTTCTGTGGAAGCTGAAGACACAACATGCAGTTGAAGAAGAAAGAAGTAAGAAGAGAAGACACATAGCATCAATCTAAGCAAGGCTCATATGTGAATACCGTACTTGGCACGATAAGTGACCATTGGGCACTATGTTTTCAATGCCCATCACAGATGGGGCACTATTCAGGAGAGGGCACTATTCAAGAGAGGGCACTATTTTTCAATGCTGGCACTTTTCATCGTCCAGCATTTAAAACAAAAAGAAGCCAACTGTGAACTATCACGACTCAACAGAAACAGCAACAAGAACTACGATTTTGATCCTTAAACCACCAGTGCAATGAGATGGACAAGAACAGTGCTCGGCCAAAGAACACCAAACCTGCATATGCGCTCGGTTACAAGCCAGGGAGGCACTATTAAAAAAGGGATATATTTTTTCACTGGCTCTTAGAGACTGGGCCACTACTCGAGATAGAGCACTATTCAAGAGAGAGAGAGTTCTTATCGCGCGAGTACGAGGTCCTTCTGTATTATTATTTCTCGTTCAAACTGAATTAAAACGTTTCTTCAGAATTCCCAAACTCCATTGCAGCGTATTTCTTGCACTTGAAAAAAAATGTTTCAAGTGCAAACTGAATCACTTCTATAATAGATAGTTCTACTTCGAAGCATACCAGATGAAAGGCCGTAGATCTCAAAACCAAAATTGCAAACCCAGATACATCACAACAGATGTAAAACTTTGCTTGGTAAACCGGTGCTAGGAATTCCACTTCTGTCACCCGCAGTTGTCAATTCGGATATTGAAGATCCTTCAAATCAAAATTTGGATACTCTACTGTAATTACAGAAATTTTCGGGGCTCAAAATTGTGGGTGTGGTGCGCCTACCACTCACCCTTAATCTTCTTAACGGCCACAACTTGGGATTCACGATTCTCCATTCCTGGTATGTTGGCATTCTTCGTGATAGTGGCCTTGTAGACGACACCATACCGACCTCCACCAACCCTCTCACCAATGTCCAATATGGACGGAGAGATGATCTGTAGGTGCAGTGAGAACAAACAGCCAAAGAGAGAGAGAGAGAGAGAGAGAGAGA